CGTTCCAGCCAAACCAGCCGCTGGCAGTGTGGCAAAAGCCGTGGTTGTGCGCCCAGCCAAATCCGGAGGTGAACACCCGCACACCTCACAAATTATGCTTCGCACAAGACGATTATAGTTCGTTTCCAGAACATAATGATCGAATACCCCAATCAGCTGGAAAAAATCCGGGGTCGTCACGCCAAGTGGAGTAATGTCATCCGGGCATCACCTCCCGTCGATCGTTGAGGTCTGGCTTGGCTTGGCTTTGCAAGCGGAACGCAACCCCGCTGGTGTACCGAGTATAAAACACACACAGCCACTATGACGCACGATCTTTGGTCCTGAAGAGGCGAAAACAGCCCTCTCCCCACCAACCTTTCCATTGTCAACGTAGATCTCGATCCGGGATCATGTTATTGGCACCCAGGCCACCTCCATGGGTGCGTGTCGATGACTGATTTGCCTCGGAATGCGGGAATCATATGATGATTGGAGGGCTTAGTGGATTGCGATGATGCAATGACCGTCGTCGACTTGGTATATAGAGCATAGTTGGTCCTGGCTAGTGACTTGCCTGTCAGTCGACTTATTGTCACTTGAAATAGAACTCTATCTATCCAAGATACAATCATCACAACCCCCTCTTTCCTCCCAAAGAAAAGAACCTAGAAGATAAATACAGCACCATGGACCTCGTCCAGAAATACGGCCACCTCAAGCGCGACCGCCGCAAGAGTTCCGCGCAGCGCGAACTGGCTGAGGCGGAGAGGCATCAGGATCAGCAGCGTATGTGTCCACCCACTGATTATCTCGATGAACATGTGGTGGGATTGTAGTAGAGTGGATGCTGACTGACGGCCCTGGACATCGTTGCAGGAATCAACGAGCTGTTAGGCAGTTTCGGGGGCGCGGCCAACGACCACCCGGATCGGCGATCGAGCGGGGCGGGGAATATGGCGAGTATGATCCAGGAGTTTAATGCGCGGTATGTTTCTTCACTGACTAGACAAATGTTCATTGGGTTGTGGGAAAGTGGGCTGATCGGTGAGCTGTGAGCTTAGACGGAACTCGGAGTCGATGGGTGAGCGTGAGCATGAGCTTGGGGAGAAGGGGACGGAGCATGCCGTGGAGTGAGGCCTTTTTGGTGAGCATTTCTTTTATGGAGCGAGGGATTGCGGACTGTATTTGTAGTTTCTACATGGCATCTTTCATGAATGAATAATGACTGTTTTCGGGAGTCCTCTTTTGCCATCCCGGTGGTCTTTGGACTTCCTTCCTTTAGAAGCAGTAATCCCAAGTACTGCACGGAGATCCGGACGACTTGGGAAAGGTGGCCCACGGGCCCGGAGGGAGTTCGGCATGTAAATCTAGATCCGACAGCCCGGTTCATAACCTATCTAGGAGTCTAATCCTTGTCGAAGGAGACACTAAGATTGAGTTAGATCCTGAAGAACTTACTGTGATGTCCCTCCTTCTTGAATAACGGTACCTCTATCGTGCTATGAACATTACAGCCGCAGACAAATGCTGGCATATAGTACGTACTGTACCTACAGATTAATTCCGTCCGGAACGACAAGTTTCGGCTTCGGAACCCTCGGGAAGCGCTTCCCTTCAGAGCGGAAAAAGGGTCCCAAGGAGACTGCCTAATGGGTCCGGTCCGCGGCGACACCTAACAAAAAGACGGACTTGTCAACAACTCACTTGGGACGAGATCCACTTGATAGAGGCCTCGCTGACAGCTCCAATCGGCCTTTTGCATTGATCCTCATAAATAACTGAGATACCGTCCCTGATTACTTGTCTACATCCCTACAACATCAACCTGCACTGCAAAAGATGTCCACCATCCTCATCACCGGCAGCTCCCGCGGCCTCGGCCTCGAGCTCATCCAGCAATTCGCCGCCCTCCTCCCCGAGAACGGCCTCATCATCGCCGCCGCCCGGACATCCACCCCAGCGCTGGAGGCGGTCATCGCGCGCGAGCAGAGCCGCGTGGCGTTCGTCGCGCTGGACATCACCGACGAGGCCAGCGTCGTCCGGTCCGCGGAGGCGGTGCGAGCGATACTCGGGGATCGGAAGCTCGAGATCCTGGTCAACTGCGCCGGGGTCATTGGGGAGACGCAGGAGAAGGCTGGGTTGGTGTGAGTCTCCTCTTCACCCAACTTCGTTTCCCATGGGCCGATAACATCTGAAATATGCGTACTGACTCGAACTGGATATCTAGCTCCTCGGCGGACCTCGCCCTGACCCTCTCGGTCAACGTGACGGGCACGCATAACGTCACCCGCGCCTACCTGCCGCTCATGCAGGGCGGATCCTCGGTGAAGAAGGTTATTAACATGTTCGTCTGATCCCTGCTTTCCTCACTTTCTCTGGTGCTGCGTTCTGGGTACGTTTCTTCTTGCAATGCTGATTCGCACGGGATGTAGCTCAAGCCAGTACGGCTCGATGGCCCGCGCGCGCGAAAACGATTACGCCAAGCTGCCGGCGTACAAGATCAGCAAGGCGGCGCTGAATGCGTTGACGGTGCAGTATGCTCTGTCCTACGAGGCGGACGGGTTTGTGTTTATGGCGGTGCATCCGGGGGTGAGTTAACTGGTTTTTCCATGTTCTTCTGCCGGTTCAAGGCTAATAGGGGGTTGGGCAAAAGTGGCTGCAAACCGATATGGGGGGCAGTGGGGCCGACCTCACCGTGTCCCAGGGTGCAAAGGCTGTGCTGGAGGTGATTGTGGCGGCGGATGAGCAGTCGAACGGGACGTTTAGGAATATCCATGTTGCCGGGTCGGAGATTTATCGCGGGGAGGAGATTCCTTGGTGATCTTGGTTATCGTGTAGAGCGTATTTTGGATAGAGATATCAAATGCATGACCAGTTAACTTACTCCGTACTAGATATGGTCTTCCGGAAGTCCGAATATTTCAGGAAAGTGGGTCCTCGACCAAAAGACAACTCGAAGCATCAGCCTAGATCAGAGATTGTTTCTAAGGCTGAAGGTCTAGAAGCTCTTGATTAAGAATTGGGTCTATCTCAAGGGATCAGACACAGGATCAGCTTAGTGTCCCTCAGGGGAGTGGTTTTATGATTACTGGCACGGCTGATGACGTTGGCTTCGCTTATTGTACAGTCCAGTCCAGTCCCTGGCAGTATAGCATAGATTGGACGGGAGTTACAATTATCCCAAAGAACAATATTTTCAGAATTCTCTCAGAATCGCCAGAATCACGAAAGCATGTATATTCTTGATCATCTGTTTGTGGTGGAGAGGAAGTATAGTATCTGATGATGATAATGTGTCATTGGTCAGCCGCGCAAAGGTTTCTCCCATTCCGCCCAGTTCGCGCGGCTGCCCGTGTCTTAATTTCATCTTCTACAACCACTCTCATGAATCCAATCCAATCGACCTGTAGCGGGGATGGAAAATGAATCGCAATGTCACAGAGCTTCGCAGTCTTCGATGATATACTGCCAGCAGTATGTTCTCTACGCTGTCCCTATCTCCCGAATCCCATATTCTCATGCATCGGTCTAGACCCCCAGGCTGACTCGATGTCTTAGTGCGATCTATGCCATTCTAAAAAGGTTTGGTCTGGCACTATATACACTATATACGTCACCATCTATATTGTACTCACACAACCAACAGATCAGATGTAACAGACAGAGAAACTGCTCGAATTGTGTAGACGTTGGTGTCGAGTGCCAGCGTCTTCGTCGCGGAAGAACATCGCGCAAACGATCTTTCACAAGGTTCGCGGCCTCGGTGGCCTAAAACTACTACCACGGTCACCGCTAAGTTACTGTCTGCTAGTGCCACTGGATCAGCGGAAACCATACTTCGCCTGGAAAGACCCGTAGCTCAGCCTCAAGGGTGCAAGCTCTTCCCAAACTCTGGCTCTTATCCCAGCCGGCTGACCAGTTGACAGAGCTAGACACATCGACCTAGGAGCCAGCCCTGGGATAAGAACAGAAGAACAGAGACCCCGCAAGCAGCCACGTGCGGACATGCCGGGCGAACATGACCAGACCTCCCGTGGCGACCTCAATTCGCCTGCTGGCACTGACAGCTCGAACTATCACGCCGTGCAAGCCAGAAGTATCATTGAAGTGGTGCTTGATGACTGTCGACATATCAGCCATGAACAGCAGTCTGTTCTCAAGGCCGCGCTCGATCTAGTCAGTCAGATGGCAGACGCGGCGCCGGTGGAGTCAAGCACATCTGCCGAGGAAGGGTTTTCTGTGGATCCCAGCATTGCAGTTCCAGAAGCCCCGCCCCAAGAGCTGCTCTTCATGCTGCTTCCTGGTAAGTATAGGCTGTCTCATCGTATGGCATTATCAACTGACAGTCTCCAGGGTCGACAAGTAGGGAAGGTTATCAGTGGCCCGATCATATCTCCGAAGAGTCATTTGAAAAAATGGCTGCCGAGGTACTCGACGAAAACTGCAAGGGCCAGGTGTTCCACCGACTCTCCGTCTGCATCTATGTCAAGGCAATATTCCACTTTTTCAACTTGGCCAGGAGCACAACCAGCTCCACGCTGAAACGGCGGCTCTTTCAATCCGCCTCCACCTACATAGTTGCAGCCGTGCAGAGCATTCACAAACTTGACATCCTCGCTCCTCCCAGCCTTCTTTTTATACAGGCTCTACTATCCAGTGTGAGTCGTGTGCGCATGCAAAAGATGCTACACTTGATCATTAACATGCTCCGCATATAGGCCCTACTGATGCAACATCTTGGTAGAGTCAACCAGTGCTGGATACTCAACTCGTATTGCGCTCGTCAAATCACAGCGCTCGGCTACCACAGGACCCAAGACATTCCCTCTCCCTCCGTGGTGCAGAAAGACATTCAGAATGCGTTGTTGTGGTGCTTTTTCCTCGATAAATCCCTTAGTTCCCTGATGGGCCGACCCACCTCTTTGCCGGACCTTCTTGTTCCTCCCACAGATCTCGTCGGCTTCGACTCCTCGCTACCATATGGCTCCCTCTTTCGGACCTGTCTTGAGATCGCTCAGATCCAAGGCGAACTACTCTCCATACCCGCTCATGAAAAGCGCAAATCAAATCGACAAATCATGGAAGTCATCGACAGTCTCGAGACTAGGATGCGACGACTCCTTCCAGACTTGCATGGCGTAAGGCTTTCCGCAACCCGTATCCACCAACAGTACGCTGACAGCGGATGCAGAACCGCAGCTCGCTCCACAGACCCATAGAGCTGGACTGGATCGGTGCCGACTTCTGCTACTATGCCGTGCTCGTGGAGATCTACCGGACCCGGCTGCGGTGCTCCTTCAGTCCGATGGTCCACAAGGAGACCCTGCTCTGCGCGCGACGATCGCTGGAAGCGTTCCAGTACCTCCAGCAGCACCACGCCGAAATGCCGGGGTTCAACGACCCATATCCGTCGTTTCTCACATGGTGCGTACAACACCGACGGCCGATGAAAACTACGGCCGCTAATAAAGCACAAGGACCTTACTCTTCTACCCACTAAGCCCCTTCTTCGTTCTCTTCTGCAACATCATCGGCTCCCTCGATCGATCCGATTACGACCTGGTGCAAAGTATCGTCCAAACCCTGTCGCAGTGTAAGCATGACCCGCACCTCCAGAAACTCCTCGACCTCTTGACGTCCCTTGCGCGACTATGCGAGCCGCTGTTCCAGACTCCAGATGCTGGGGCTGTACCACAGGGGGTTGGGGCTGGCACCGCCGAGGGTCGCCTTCCATCGACGCCAGCAGTGGCCCGCGCCACGAATGGGGCCATGGAAACAGGCCATCTCTCTACCCACGAGGGCTTCGTAGCGCACGGCATGAGCCAAGAGGCTTCCGGGATCGTGGATCCGGGAAGCAGCGCGTCGAGCGACTGGCTTATGTGGCAGCTGTTCAATACGCAGATGCCGCTGGGCTGGATGAATCCTGAGTTCGCGGCGTACGGGCTCAATTAGGGGTGTGAGGGGCACGTAATCAACAAGCTGGAACAGGATTTCGGAAGCTGGGGGAATTCAGGCATGTTGTAACATCTACTGCATCATGATGAGCCACGTATCCTCGGGGCAGGATGTTATGGAGATCCAGGAGTAGCCCTTGGTGGCCAGCTGGTGAGGATGTGGAAGGATGCTTGAGTATGTAGCTGAATCCTGTCGGGAGCATGTGCGTGAGCGCTACAGTGCAGTATTTCGAACCCAAACCCATCGGCTTTACCTGCGTATATAAATACGTGCATCGATAAGATCATATCATTTGATCAAACCCCTGGATTTCCTTCCCTACGATCGTGACTCAAACAAGCTGGACTGTATCTTGTAAACCTTCATCGATTGACAACGCCCGAGGACGAATCGGGCAGATTCCAACACTACACTATCAATGAGGATGCCGAGTCCGGTGAAGCGTTTGGTATCTAAAGCTCCTGTCCCAAGACATCGCTAGCAGGCGGCAAAGCAAGCTTCCCCAAAGGACGCCCCCAAAGGCCTACTACCCCATCATCCGCACCACCACATAAACCCATCCATCGCCATACGCCGAACACCTTACCAGCTCCTCCACCGGCGCCGCCATCGGCACAGCCGCCCCATGGAGCACCGGCTTCGCCAGCACGGGCGTTCTACGACTCGGAAACAGGTTCGGCAGCAGCGCATGCAGCGCCGATCCGACCGTCTGGACCTGCGGCGCCCCGCGCGCGGCGGCCATCATCAGCGACTGACTCGCCGCGACACTCATCGACGTCGACACCGACGCCGACGACGGGGCGATCACCGGCGGGATAGGCGACTGGACCACCTTCAGCGAAGGGGAGTCCGAATCCGGGGGCAACGGCAGGAAGAAGCGGACGGGCACATTGCGGAAGGGTTGGTTGGGCGGTGGGAGGAGGATGTTGGAGATGCGTTGGAAGGCGGGGAGGTCCACTGCTATCCACGTTAGTTTTTCCTTCCCCAAGTACACATGTCAAATCCAAGTACTCAGCACAACAAGGGCTTTTGGGGGGGGGAAGGAGAAGGGCATGCAGACCATCTCGCACCGCCGTCCACAGGCCCGCGGAATCCTCCTTGGACAGCGCCATGATCCCCTTCGCCGTGCCGTTGCGCAGGAAATCCGCCTCCTTGACGCTGTTGATGAACGCGTCGTGCATGACCATCCCGTCCGCGTCAAGCCGCACCAGCTCCTCGTCGGGCCAGTCGCTGAAGTGCACGGTCAGCCGCCAGGGGAGGGGGTCCTCGTCGGCGCTGGCGGCGGAGAGGAGGTCGGGCTCGGTGCCGCCCGCCTTCGAGGCCGGGTCGGCGCCCGCGTACAGGTCATACAGGAGTCCGATGGGGTAGTGCCACTTCAGGGGGACGCCCTCGAAGGAGAACCAGCCTTCGTGCGGGCTGGAGGTGGGGTGGATGAGGGAGGGCGCAAAGAAGTCCCGCAGTCGGGGGAGGAGAGAGGGGAGGTAGGCGATGCGCGGGTGGGAGATCTTTCCTCGGTTAGTGTTTCGATTCGCATTTTGTGAACCCCGGAGAGGAAAGAGAAGTACAAGATATGGGTCTGTTTGATCAAAGGTTCGGCTTTCGGATGGGGCCAGGGTGATGTGCAGCGGCAGTTTGCCGTCCCAGACGGCTTTCTGGATACGGCCGAGTGATGATGATGCTTTGGGATCCATGCTGGGTGTGTATCGCGCTTTGGCTTTTCAATCTACGGGACTGTGTTAGCGGATTGCTTACTTGGAAAAGCCCAGGTCTAAGATGTACTAGGACTGTCTTTGGAAGTATACCTATTGATGATTCATCCAGACCAGACCGGAGGCCGTGACTACAGGCCCAATCGACTAACAAAGGTGTTTTACCCCGCAGATCCGACACATGGCCGTTCAGCAGATGCTGGGAATGGTTTGTGAGAGAGCAAAAGCCCTGTTTCAGGGGGTACAAGTCTATTGATTTGCACAACAATAAACAAACATGTAGCCTTGTGTAGATAGAAGCGAAGGTGATGGTGGGAGATGCGATAAGGTACAGCCGGATATACGGCCATCTTACCCAACACGGATTAGGCACCACGTGAGGGGCTGCTTGCCTGAGGCAGAAGTTGACTGCCATACTTCTCGTAACTCTCATGTCATGACTCTGTCCTCAAGCCACAATTCTGGTTGATTCTTCATTTCCTTTCGCTGCCCTTTTGAAATATCATCATAGCAGCCAGTCAACTTCGAGGCTCCAACACAGGCATGACGGCAGCTTCTACCTTGTCACGAATCTCCAGGTATACAAACCCGCTCGAAGAGACTACTGCTTAGGGACTTCTGTGTCTCCCAGCGTGATATCCTGAAAGAGATAAGACAAATCACAAGAGACTCTGCCATACCACTCTTGTGCTCTATGCTTGCGTTAAAGGTCGCAACCACAAGCCCCCAGAGCCCTGAGCCCGCAACCTCGAGCGAGATTGCCTCGCCATCGCAACAACCATATGGTCACCTAGGCAGTAGAATTCTTGCATACGGCTATTTTCATCTCCCACGGCCTTCTCATATACAAAGAGCGTCCATCGAAAGCACTGATTAGATCCTGCCCGATAACTGGAGCGATCCGCCGATCATTGACGTCTCGCGACGACGCCTTGCTTTGGTGGTCTACCATCCAGAATTCAAAACTTGAGACCACTCTGCATGCATGTACAGCTCCTGCAGCGGATACCCTGGGACAAAGAGAGAGTCACATGCGTCCACAGCCCAGATTCTGCAAGATAAACCTATTGCTGAATGTGTGCATTGGATCTGTGGCATATATCGTCTCCCGCAATCAGGCCTACGTCCGAGTATAGCCGACTGATGACACGAATGGTATAAGCGGCTGGCGGGGTAAGCTCCTGCTTGATTTGAAGCGAAGCTCTGCAATTGAGTCAGACAGTCTTTGGTCTATACTGGAAAGGACAAGAGCTACGCAAACCCTCCCGTTGCCTTATCAGTTGCCTTGCATCGTTTACAGGCTCCACTCTCTTGACCATATCCTTCTAGCAGGGTGCCGTTCGTCGGCTCCGACCATGTGGGCACAGTGCATTCAAGCATTCTGGACCTATGACTCAAATGTGGGGAATAGCTAGTGATTTACGCGAGTCACGATAGGCTTCTTGGTTTCAGAGTGTATGATCTTATCAAAAGCTAAATGCCGGAGTTGTGGTCGAGCAGGCGTTGTCAGCTCTGCTATCCTGTAATCAGTCCAAGTCTCTTCGATCGATTCGAAATCGATGACTGGATGCATGCTTGTCTTTGCATGACAATCAATCATCTTGCCTTGCCTTTCATCCTGCTTGAACCCATTCGCAAATTTGGATCACGCGCCTCGTACATGTCGTAAGATCAGGTGAGTGCCGCATGCCTTATCTCATGCGTCTCAACTCGAACAGAACACCAGATAAAACGGCAAAAGCCGTTGTCACATTCTTGTGTAGCTCACACGAGAGGCGTGAGGTTGAGCCAGCCATGCTGCAATCGAGACCCACTGGTTCAGCAGACGAGCTTACTGCGCATTCTGAGTCGCTGGTGGCAACGGAAGCATGCAGATATCGCTTCACTATCATCGAGTGCATCTTCCGGACCAGATGCCCAGCACATGCTACCCGTCATACCATGGGTCTCTGCAGATCGCATCACGCCGCAGCCCAGGATCACAATGCGCCCATCATGTGGGACTGACATCTAGTCGAGGGGCCAATTTCTTGATGCATTGCATTTGCATGGATGATCCCGTGTTGCATGCTAGCAATGCGGTCTGTAGACCCGATGATTCTGATATGGCGCACGCGTGCTGACAGCTGAGACATGCGCTAGCATAGCGCCATTGAGGTTCAGTCTTGCGATTGTATCTCTGAGCCTAAACGAACAATGACCAGGTATGTCGGGCTGACAATTGCATGTTTCATATGTTCCAAGGGTCAGGCAGTAGCGCGTTCATTCATCGTGACTCCCTCCTAAGATGGTAAGAAGAAGCGAAAGTGTTTCGCGATCGTGGATAGGCCGATATGATGCATTAGAAGGCCAGCCCCGCCGTTCGTAGAGAATCGTAAGTATGTGCGTAGTCGAGACCGTTAGCTCCACTTGAGGGTCGTCACGAACCATTCAAGGGTCCAGGGATTGGCTGGTTAATTAGTGGTCAGGCTAATTCTCAGTCGGATTAACCCGCCAGTCACGTATTCGACATTCTCCAAACAGGGACGGATACGAAGTCGACGTGATATCGGAAGTCGGACCTCTTCGCTTGGAGATGTCTGTGTAACGTCTCTAAGCCTCCCAGCATGAGTAGAGGCTGAGTACTCATTCTTTGCTGCTTGGAACCTTGTTCGTTAAGGGGCGCGGCTCGGGAAATAACCACCCGGTATTGTTCTTCCTACAAATAAGACCTGTTGGTCGCAACGAAAGGGAGGTAAATCATTACCTAAAGTGTCTGCCGTGGGCGCATGCCTGACGGGAAAAGGAGAGGAATCAAAGGGCGGAAAGGCAGCAATGAAGATCAGGTACGGAGTACTCCGTACAATGACTCAAGAAGAGTCGTCTTAGACATGCACACTCAGAGAACTCATCAGCGTTGGCGTCATCCCATTCCTGTTTGTTGACGTAAAGGCCTTGCGCGGTTGTTTCATCTACCCTGCTGCGCATGTCGGTGGGGGTCATGACTGCTTGTCATGCTCATTTGGTGGCGGTTGGAAGGGGCCGAAAAGACCAAAGAAAGGATGCTTTTGCGGATGGGAAAAAGCAAAAACGACTGGTACAGTACAGTATATGGGAAAGAGATGCAGGACAGGCGAAATAATCATCCTCCCGAAGTCCGGCCACGCCGTTTCATACGCTCTCATTGGGATAAGATCGACGAGGTGCGGTCATCGAGCCGACAAGCGGCAGAGTGGGTGTGATGAGTGATGAATCGAGTTGACTGATAATCGAGTTCCCAACTAAAAGAGCCGTGCAATGAATACAACCCCTGGCGAGCAGTCGCTCCTTGCCGTGAAGGTCCATACGTTGCTTCCGGCACGGCAGCTGCCATTCTCCGGCTCGGTTCGTAAAATGGCAGCTTAACTCCGTCCCTGCGAGGTGGTCTGAAGGATTGTAGCATCATCAAGCTCGCAGCCCTTTTTTTAAGGTCTTGAGCTGGCTTGGACCGATCGTGGACAACAAGCTTCCCTCATTCACGCTCACAACAGATGGTGGTTGGTATGACCTCTCAACATCACCTAGTGAACAGTACACATGAAATCAAGGTATTAGAAGGTTTAGGCTGGTGGAGACGGCCAGATTCCCGCCAAGAAAAGCTCAGACCAGATGATTATGATGGTGGTAGATCATCGCTTAGAGAGATAAGGTTGCCAGAGCTTAGGCCAAGCATATCTTGCACAGTCCACTTGCTGCAGATACTAATCTCAGTTAGACGGACAAGGCGTACGGCGATGTCCTTGCAAGAAAGTCAAAGCGAGGGGTATCGTCTGCTTTCAATTGGGTTGCTTGCAATCGCACTTGGGAAAGCAATCCGCTTCAAGGGCAAGCAATGCATCGATAACTCTCTCGGAGCCTGTCCGAGATAGTCAATATCCCCGCGTTCTGTTTCTCGCAGAGCACGGAGACTAGTATTGATTCCGACACCTGCCCGCGGAGAAAGCAGCAAGGGGGTGACCGTAACTAGAGCGGGCGTATTCAGGGGGGGTTGAGAGATACACAAGTGAAACAACAAAACACCAGTTGCAAGCCCCTTTCGGCTCCCGTACCCGAAAGCCCTGGGTTTATTCAACTTTTGTGCTGTGCACTAGCATAAAGGCTTTGCGACGCGAACCCGAACCCAGCGTTGTGGTAACCCCATGCTCAGGAGGCAGCCAGGCTCGGCTTCACTTCCGTCGATCACTACCGTTCACCAATCAGATACGAAGTGCTCTGTCCATTGGTGCAGGGTTCAGCTCGTGAGAAGTCCATAGTTCGCCCATTATTTGCTGTGGTCATATCGAGCACCGGGATTTGCAGCCAATTATAGAACTGCCAATTGCTTTTTTCTCGCGTGATCCGTCGTGGAAATCCCCTTTTTGACCACCACCACACTGGAATGAGTAGACGTACTTTGAGGCGTATGTACACGTACTGTCCAGCGGCAGCAAGCTAGGATAGAACGAGGCTTAGCTTTGAATATCCTCATTCCGGCGCAGCACAATTAATCGTGAAATTTCAGGAGCAACGCTTAGCCAGGATCGTGATGTCAGCATAACTGGATTCCTTGACAAGGAGGAATGCAGAAGAAAAGGAAATCGACAAGATCAAAGGTGATCAGTAGCCAAGCCAGAAGACCGCTAATTCTGACATTTCAGCCGACCGAGAAAATAACAAAGACAGCCTAGGGTTTACTCGTCGACGTTCTCTAACCTACAGACATTGTAGCAGAAGTTAGTTTAGCTGCGCCTGCAACCTGAGTCATTGTCATCTGCCAGGTCGTGCCAGGTGTACGTACATACAGTGTCTCCAATGCAAGGATACCGTTATCCTGTCGGAGGCACAGGGGCCGTTAGCTTACGAGGTAGCTTATCGTGGCTGAATAAGGTTATGGCCGAAAACAAGGTAGGAGTAAGATGAGAGCTGCAGCAGCGTGAAAGAGTCAGGGCGAAAAGCACTGACACTGCCATCCCCTGGGGCAGTGCGTGATTACTGTGATGGGATCGACCCCGTTTTGACCCTATCGGTGGATCACAGCCGATGCACAGAGATCTTAATCCCTGATCCCTTTTCAGTTTGGTGTAAACCGTGTGATCCCTGGTCTGAGATCGCGCTCAAGACTATGACATTGATAGCATCTGCGTCAGTACGGTCTAGATCCATGACACAACCCTTTTCAAGCGGGGGTGCGAGAATCGGATGTCGAGGTTTCAGCCCTTCCGACCCCCTGCCCGGATGCCTTTGACAGCCAATAACAAGCGCCGTTGGCTGGCCGTCATGACCAGCATCGCATCGGTGTATGCATGCTGATTGATCATTTACACCCTCATTCGGTTCATGTGCCCGATATGCGCCATGCTGACGATCGTTCATGGGTTCCCCGGAGTACGCCTATCAAGCTCACCCATACAGAATCCAACTTATGAGGTTATCCTCCTTAAGGTGACTCGGTAATCATTTCCCTAGACGCCGGGGACAAAGCGAACTCTCCTTGTTCTAGTTCGTCTAGTTGGACGCAGCAGCTCGACAGATCGCTATCGCAAATTTTAGCTACCATTCGTGGCACATAGGGAGAGACACAAACGGTAACTCCGGACCCTTCCCTGAACTCCCAGCCCGTTCAAAACCGGTTTGCCTTGCTCGTGGTGAAATCACAAGTCGGTTGAAAGAGACAAACTGAAGATCCCTATCTTCCTATGTCACACAAGTTACGTTGCAAGCCCTTCTCTTTCCATCTTCAAACGACATTTGTGGCTATAATCTCACCACTTTCGGTTCCGGACCGTCATATCCCAACTTGAGTCAAAGTCATCCTGGTCTATTTTTGTTTCACATTCTCTGTTTCACTCGTCGGCGTCGGTAAAGCTTGAAGCTTGGTGGCTGTCTCGTTGGGTATATAAAGGCAGAATACCACCGTCCTTCTTGCTAAATATCATCAGCATCATCGAGCCCCATAAATTAATCCAAAGAACAAAAAACAAGCCTACCTCTATCACAGCACTTATATCCACACCTCACGTTTCCATCAACCGACCGGTTAGCATTGCTTTGAACACTTGCAATCTTTTCGAAAATATCCTCCGGCTGCGGTCTTCCATATCTCACATCTGTTACTGCCGAGATCAACCCTATATCGAACAGTCAGCAATGTCTTCTGAAAACAAGCAAACACAAAAGTTAGTGATTCATTTCACTCTTGCCGCTCTTCTCATGCTGACAGCTGTCAATAGAACTGGCAACGGAGTCAGCAACAGTCTCAGCGCTGAAAATCTGAGCCGCCTTCCGGATGGCACCAGCGGAGGTATGGTGGAGCGCTTCACGCAGTCCCCAGCAGCGGATGAGCCATACTTTGCGCGAGCACGAATGCATGATCGCTCCGAGCACGCGTCGCGGCTCTCAAGCCAACTTGAAGCGACAGAAAAGGTTCTCGGAAAACGGTAAAGATGTTTCATGTCAGGTCACAGCATAATGCGAGTATTTCAAATGTGGGAAGGTATAAATAGCAGGAAGATTTATCTATGTACAGAGTCTATTAGAGATCTTGTTCATCGCAGGGCGCTGCCGAGCAGCATATATCGAGAAGATGAAAGAGACATGTCGGGGTCATCATAATAGGGCCGTGCCTTTCAGATAGTTTCATTTGTCGACGCATTGAGCTTCAGAAATTCCATCATGTATTGAGCCACATCATCGTACTTTGTGCTTGGGAACTCATGGCCTGCATCGTAGGACTTAAAGCTCGCGAGGCCTTGTAGTGCTGCAGTGGCATCGGGCACGAGATCGTCTTTCACAATGACCGCGTCGTGCTCGCCATACATAATGAGAACCTTGTCATGGGGAAGACCGGGGATCGCATCCGAGCCAGCCTTCTTCCCCGTGGCAAGCCAGTCTCCCAGCTGCTTCCATACTTTCAGTTGGCGCTGCTGCAGAATTGGCCCATACCGCATGCTGGACATGAAAGCATGCACAAAACCGGGATGCTCATCCACCTGCCACTTGACTGTGCTGGGGACATTCACATGTGTGTAAGCCCGAGACAGTCGCTGTACCTCCGTCGCACCTTGATTGGGAAGTTCTTCGACCAACGCATCTTCTGCACTGAGCTTCTTGTTCGCAGGTTTGGATGTCAACGGACCCGCGCGTAGGCGACGACGGACGAAGAACTTCAGTAGTCTCTCTGGTATCCAGTCGTGCGAGTAGAGAAGCTGAGATTGAAAGCTGATCCGAGAATCACGAATCAAACCAGCAGGCGCAAGGAGAACCAACGAGGAAATAGCCTGAGGATGGAAAGCCGCGAAATTCGCCGCGATACCGCCGCCTAATGAGTAGCCGACCAGGCAGAGATCCCCCGGCCTCTTGAAGATGGGAGACGAGTTGATGGCAGACCAGATCTGTCGATTCCACAACGTGCCATCTTGTGGCAGATCCGAGGGACAATCGGAATACCCTCTTCCGAAACTAGAGGCACCTGTTAGCAGTCCTCATTGTGGCACCGTTCGGCAGTTCACCTACAGGTCGAAGAGCATTACACGGCACCCTCGATCGACCAGGGCATGGGCTAACCCGCCTAATGCGATACAAGGGGTCGTAATGCCGTGGATCAAGAGGACCCTGGGGCCATCCTCCGGGCCCCACTCATATACACGCATTGAGCCACCAAAACTGGTGGGCACATCCCGGGCCCCGGGAAGAACGTCGATAGGCAGAGGAAGCTCGCGGTTTTCCGCATCCGACAAGGCCTTGACCTTGGCAAGAGGGGAGCGATAGACATTCCCCTCCGGCTGGGAGTCCGATAGAAGCGAGCGCAGGACAAAAGCCGCAGTCAACGAGGCCCCTGTTGCAGCCAGGAGGGGAAGTTGACTGCGGTGGCTTGCCAAGAAATCGGAGAGGGAGTCGACGGTTTGATTGTACCAAGCCATGTCTCTCGTCTATGAATGATGTCTATGATGTAATTCAAAACTACAAGAAAAGGAGAATGCAAGAGGTGGCTAAAGTGAAAAACGAAATGCAGGCTGAATAGAATGAAAATCGAGCAACAACAGGAAGTTGGCAGCGGGCAGATATGTGGTGGATGTTAGTGATGTTAACCACTTGTTGGCCTTGGGCTGACTATTCCTCTTCGGGCCGAAGGATTGTCACCGGGACTCCGATAAGAGATAAGCCAAGTCATGTGCCTTCCACAGCCGAGGCTCCTTCGACCGGCATCAAGCAGCAGTCAGTGTCTCTTCGCAGTCATCATCAGAGCTGACAAGTCTATACGAAATGCTCATCATCATTAAGGAAGACAGGCAGTGATTTATCTCTGAAAGACATCGGGTGAGATGTCATCTCATAGTTTCACCTGTCAACCCACAAACGATCGATAACATATATACCCATGCCGAAGGACTATGGCATACGTATTCTTGCCACGGAACGCACAGAGGCAGAATGGGACGACAAGGATAGCTAAATGCCGTGATACTGCCGAATCACTTCAGGCAGTCATGACCAGCATGAAAGAAAAACATGTGGAGGATACTAGGGCCGACAATATGGTCCCACCACCCCAGTTCCAAGGATACCCATGCACAACACCACGAGGCTACACCACCCTAGTCAACCTGTGAGGTATCACCATTCGCCAAGGCCCTCTTCCTGTCCATGCGCATGCGTAGAACCAACTCGCCAAGGTACAAAAGTCATGAGATCTGAGGGTTCTGTACATGAGGATGAATACCAGCTTGGCAACACGCACAGCAACAGGCAACAAACACATTGCCGATGAAGCGCTCTTCATAGAGAATAAGACCAGTCAGCAGCAACCTCAGCCCTCCCCCCCCGTCTCGACAAAGTCGCGGAGATTACCTCCGTGTACTTCTGAAAAGGGCATTTTCGGCTAAATGGAGATTACTACCCACTTAAATTGGACAGCCGTTGGACGGCACCTAGCCATAACTGGGAAGCGATCTGCAAGGTACAGCGCCATGGCTTATGCCGGCTTCATCAGACGATGTACTCTTACCACTGGCATTTGGCTCGTTATACCGAGAAAATATGTCCCCATGCCTCAAACCTTCCCCCCACATCAGCCGCTGTCAAAATGAGCTTCAATTAGATCAGGAAATGAAGGGATGAAAGCGGCTACAGAAACAAAGGTTGTCTGCTGGACTTCCGACATCGGGCGATGTATCACACCGCCATGAAACATCAAAGTGTCTGAGATGCCAACCCGCAGCCGCCCTCTAGTCCACTGTGGGGAAACTTTGATGCGAATTAAGTGAGATGAGGTGGAATGAGAAAGTGTCCAATTAAAATCGATGCTCCTATCGGCTTTGATCGGAGCCAAGGGCGCCCCCCGTTCAGCCACCTGCAAGACGGATGCTATGTTCAAGCCAAAGTCGAAGTCATTGATGGAATCTCGTTCCCCGCACCCCGACGATCGACAAGGTCAAAGTGAACCCTGAATATAACAAATTAATTGATTAGGGTCGCCGATTGGGGAGGGACCGGTCGACGCCCAACCAACGCCACATCTGCCACATCGCCATTCGCATAGTGATTAATCGAACATCAGTCGAATCCTTTTGATGACACCCAGAATACAATTGAGACGTTCCTTCGATTCGTAACCTAGCTATACAGCCATTACAACAAAGCTTGGACTGAAGCTTTCTATTTGTGTTTCACAAGGAACACAAACGACCGCTTCTTTCAGTGGAGTGCTGGTTTTTAAAGTGAAACTAACCTGAGACTAAGCCCGCTCCAGAGACGAAGAATTATGGTATCAATCCTTCTGGCCTAACTTTCCGCATCCGATGCGGCAATGGACAGTGGTATAGCAGGATCGAACTCGCAGAATCAGGACATTGCAGATGACTGAAATAGCTCGGAGTAATCTCCGGCATGGCAATCTTGAAACCCAGTGGATTATGAAGCGCAGGTCTAATCAATCGAATTCAACAACACACGGTAATTGCCGCCTGGGATCCACTTTCCGGGCATAGCGAGGCGCTCACTGCCTTTCTATGGGACGGAGGTAGTCCTTGCTGCACAGAATAGGAAAGCAACTATATTCCGAAACATTCTATCGACGGTATAGCGGTCCGTTGTACCGTTGCGAGACAGATTTGAGCTTCAGCACCATTCAAGAGCGATGGCTTCCAACGACCAAAAGAGATATAAAAGGCAAGAAGTCCCCTAGTCAAGTCCGTTCAACATCTCTGCAGGACAGACAATCAAGCACAAACAACAATCGACTCAGCGAACTATCCGAGAACAATGTATCAACGCGCCTTGCTCTTCTCTGCGCTCTGGGGCGCAGCCCGCGCTCAACAGGCCGGAACCTCGACTGCGGAGACCCATCCTGCTCTGACCTGGCAGAAGTGTACTGCTGCTGGCAGCTGCACAGAGCAGAGTGCTTCCGTGGTCATTGATTCCAACTGGCGCTGGGTTCACTCCGTGGAAGGCTACACAAACTGCTACACTGGGAACACTGTAAGTCGTGTGAAAGCGCCGGCTTTATTGCAGCAATTGACTGACACGTTCCCTAGTGGGATGCTACTTTGTGCCCCGATGATGAGACCTGTGCTTCAAACTGTGCACTGGATGGCGCCGACTATGAAGGCACCTACGGCGTCACCACCAGCGGTGACGCGTTGACGCTCAAGTTCGTCACCGGGTCCAATGTCGGCTCGCGTCTCTACCTCATGGACACTAGCGATGAGAAGTACCAGACATTCGACCTCTTGGACGCCGAGTTTACCTTCGATGTCGACGTGTCCAACCTCCCTTGTGGACTGAACGGTGCCTTGTACTTCACCGCCATGGACGCCGACGGTGGAGTGTCCCGATTCCCGGCCAACAAGGCCGGTGCCAAATATGGAACAGGATACTGCGATTCCCAGTGCCCGCGGGATCTGAAATTCATTGATGGACAGGTCAGTATCATTTCCCCACTGGACTACCACTTCAAACCCAGTTGACGTGAGATAAACCAGGCGAACGTGGAAGGTTGGACCCCGTCGACCAGCAACTCCAACTCCGGCGTCGGCAACCACGGCTCCTGCTGCCCGGAGATGGACATCTGGGAAGCGAACAAGATCTCGACCGCATTCACTCCGCACCCCTGCGACTCAGCGACCCAGGTAATGTGCGACGGCGACGCCTGCGGCGGAACCTACTCCTCCAGCCGCTACGCGGGCACCTGCGACCCCGACGGCTGCGACTTCAACACCTACCGCATGGGCAACGATTCGTTCTTCGGCCCCGGCAAGATTGTCGACTCCAACTCGAAGATGACGGTCGTCACCCAGTTCATCAAGGGCAGCTCGGGCTCCCTGTCCGAGATCCGCCGCTACTACGTGCAGAACGGCAACGTGATTGCCAACGCCGCGTCCGAGATCAGTGGCGTCTCCGGCAACTCGATCACCTCCGACTTCTGCACGGCTCAGAAGAAGGCCTTTGGAGACGAAGACATCTTCGGAGACCACCAGGGACTCACCAAGATGGGCGACGCCCTCTCGTCCATGGTCCTCATCATGAGTCTGTGGGATGACTCCTACTCCAGCATGGAGTGGCTGGATAGCCACTACCCCACCAACGCCACTGTGACCGACCCCGGTGTTGCCCGCGGCACTTGCGAGACCGGCGAGGGTGACCCCAAGACGGTTGAGGCGGCGCACCCCGACGCTTCCGTCACCTTCTCCAACATCAAGTTCGGCCCGATCAACTCGACCTTCAGCGCTTAGATGGCAGAGGCGAGTGAGTATCGGGTGAGCCCAGCAGCAAACACATCAGGGCAGGCTCCTGACGTGTGGAAAGGTAGTCCCACTCTGGCCAACGAGATTAGGTCTCTATACATGGCTCTTTTCACATTTTCTTTCCATTTCTTCGTTCGTTTCTGCTCCAATTTCTTTTGTGACTTTTCTGAATCCGATCTTTTCTTGCAATTGTATATACATCAATGAGAAAAGAATTATCCCGGGCATACGATTAAAGCCAAGGCGAAGTAACGCGTCTAGCAGGAGGGTTTCGGGTAGAAACTCTGCTCAGAAGATCATCACACTCGGCAACTAGAATCAGGACCGTATCCAGGTAGGCTTTGTCAAGATAGTTTCTCTCTTTGACACTAATTTGCAAGATTGTCTATACTGATCGGGGGGCTGGATCGTACTCGACTAGAAGTGTGGACTGGAGACAATGGCGTAGATCAGCTGGTCAGTCAGCACCATCAGAAGCAGTTGAATGCGTAACTCACAATAGAGCGAGCTCTTTACCAATTGGAGCCTGGAGCGCTAGTCACTTCGAGTCAGTGAGTTTCAATTCAACCTGTCAACTCCTTGAATCGATGCACTTGAAGTCAGACTGGAATAGAAGGGAATACAGTTGCTTAGTAGCAAGAACCCGCCTCGAGTGGCTGCTACTGTATATAAAGTCCAACCGCCAATGCCTGCTTGAAAAGGAAGGCGGCGGTTGCCCGCGATAAGCGGCTTATCAGCTGTCAAGCACCGGAAGATTGACCGGAAGATCGGTCGGCCCGCCCCCTCAAAAGTCGGAGCTTTCGGCCGCACCAGAGACAAATCTACATGAGGTAAAGTAGCTCTTGAAAGTCATACAATAGTCCTATACGAGTGGAAAACCAGGTCGATTGCCTCAATTGCCACTGCCCGTCCACACAATGTTCGACACGGTCTGTACCTTGCCGCTGTCGGCAGATCTGTTCTCGCAGGCCATCCACCCCAATGAACCCATCGTCTCCGTCGGTCTCGCAACGGGCCATGTCCAGACATACCGACTGCCCTCCGAGGAGGCGGACAGCGATGATGACGGGGCCTCGACATCTTCGTCCCGCAACGGCAAGGGTCACATCGACACTATGTGGGGCACGAGACGACACAAGGGTAGCTGCCGGTGCTTGACTTTTGCGCTGGACGGCGAGACGTTGTATTCCGCTGGAACGGATGGGTTGGTCAAGGCCGCGAAGGCGGAGACCGGGGTGGTGACGAACAAGATCGCGACCCCCACGTTAAAGGATGGGTATGTGATCTCTGTTACATGCTGAGGGAACAATTCATGTCTCATAAAGCCAATCGATGCCAATTGATGCTCAATTGTCCGCGCAATCGCTAACGCAAGGCTTTTGGGGTTGAAAATTTCAGATCCGTCGACGCCCCCACCATTGTACACGCCCTTTCCCCTCAAACCCTCCTCCTTGCCACCGACTCCAGCGCCCTCCATCTCTACGACCTCCGCACCCCGTTTTCCAAGGTCTCCGCCAAGCCGCAACAAACGCACCACCCCCACGACGACTACGTTTCCTCGCTCACGCCGCTCCCCGCGTCCGATACCAGTACCTCTGGGTTCAGCAAGCAATGGGTGACGACGGGTGGCACCACGCTGGCCGTCACGGATCTCCGTCGGGGCGTGCTCGTGCGCAGCGAGGACCAGGAGGAGGAGCTGATCAGCTCGGTGTACATTGGCGGGCTGGCCACGAGCGGGACGAGCCGCGGCGAGAAGGTGGTGGTGGGAGGCTCCAACGGCGTGCTGACGCTGTGGGAGAAGGGGGCCTGGGACGATCAGGACGAGCGCATCTATGTCCAGCCCCGCACCGGTGGCGCCGACTCGCTGGAGACGCTGACGGTTGTGCCGGAGGAGCTGGGCAAAGGGAAAATGGTCGCCGTGGGGATGGGTGGCGGCGCGGTCAAGTTCGTCCGGATCGGCAACAACAAGGTCATGTCGGAGGTCGTGCACGACGAGACGGAAGGCGTGATCGGGCTGGGCTTCGACGTCGAAGGGCGCATGGTCACTGGTGGCGGTCAGGTGGTCAAGGTCTGGCATGAGGCGGTCGGTTCAAGCGGCGCCAATGGATCCCACCTGGGAGACAAGCGCATGTATGGCGACAGCGATGACAGCGATGATGACGTTGATAGCGATGATGCCGAATCCGTCGATGAGAGCGAGGAAGAGAGACCCCGGGCGGTGCAGCAGAAGAAGCGCAAGAAGGGCAAGGGAGCCAAGGGAGGACAGCAGATCATGGCCTTTGCCGATATGGACTAAGTGATACCCCCCACCAAAGAGATGGCACTGTACGGTGACATCGAGTGGGAAATAAGATATAGCGATACTCTCCTCAATGACCCCAAGTAGGCCGCGAGGATGTTATACCAGAGAGATCAAGTATACAACGCTCTAATGTGAATCAAGCCATTTTTCCAAGGGTCTACGCTTCTTATCCGTTGGCTCGGCTAAGATCAGGTCTAGTCGTTTAGCTTCATAAGCGCTACTTTTAGCGTGTTCCCGATACTAAATTAACGGCCGTCGGCACTGCTACGTCCGGGGACGAAGCAAGGCAGAACATATTTAAGCACGATGTTTGCCTTTCTCCTGATTTAACTGGTGCCACAGCCGGATGATCCGTTGGGGAGAGGGTTCCTCAAGTACGTTGTGTCCAAATGGGCGGTGGGGATGTGAATGTATACGTTGGATAGACATTAGGATTAGTGATGAATCATGAAGTAGCTGTGCGAGAAGACTGCAGTGGGCGTAGGCCAGCGGCAGCGATATTGCTTTGTCAATCCAGTGGATTGATTAGGGTCGTCGTCCCTGGGACGCGTATAGACCAAGCGCCAGTGCTTGCCCAGTGACATTGAGGATGTTTGGAGTGCGCTGTCTGTCTGGCGCACGGGATAATTCCTTGCCGATGTCGGCAATCCATCGTTGTCATGTTCGTCCCTTTCCTCTCATGTATAAGCATGGTTTTGGTCTTCAGAGGAGAATACCACAGTTGCAGGGTTGGCACTTGCATTCTTTGTTGGTATAGTAGTCAAGCAGGTGAATATTCCTCCATTTCTATGGAGAGATGGTGGTTGATAGTCGGAGTCGATAGCGGCCGAACTGCCGAAGCCCTCCACCTTCGGCGCGGCTGTGACCCACGGCAAAAGCCTTTGCCTTAACCGCCCCAATGGGCTTCATGACGTTGACCACGGAAGTGGTGGGGTGTGGGGAAAACACCTTTATTATTCATGATGATCAAGCTTCGGATGTCTCCCTGAGATTCGGATCCAGGCACATCTTAGACTATTTATATCTGTCAGGGATCCCCCGAACCGTCCAATCTCTTCCCCGCTATTCTGCAATCCCGATAAACCTGCGCACCATCGCCAACCTCCACTCACAATGGACGCCTTCGAATACAATTCCAACCCCGGCCGTGTCATTTTCGGCAGCGGCACGCTCCAGAAGCTCCCTGATGAGGTCGCCCGTCTCAACGTGAAGGCCCCGTTGGTGCTTTCGACCCCCCACCAAGTCAGCCAGGCCGAGAGCGTCAAGGCCGTCCTCAACGGCCAGGTCGCCGGCATCTTCACCGAGGCCACCATGCACACCCCGACCCACATCACCGACAAGGCACTGGAATACGCGAGCGCGCAGGGCGCGGATGCGGTCATCTCCGTGGGCGGCGGTAGCACCATCGGCCTCGGCAAGGCCATCAGCATCCGCACCGGACTGCCGCACATCTGTATTCCGACGACCTACGCGGGCAGTGAGATGACCCCGATCCTGGGTGAAACCGCCGACGGGCTGAAGAAGACGCGCTCCGATCCCAAGATCCTGCCGGGCACGGTCATCTACGACGTCGACCTGACCATGACGCTGCCTGCCGCCATGAGTGCTACGAGTGGTGTGAATGCCATTGCGCACGCTGGTGGGTTCTCACCCTTGTCTCCGATTAACCAGAAAAGTCCGGATGGCTGAATTTAGACCGCAACAGTGGAGGCGCTCTACGCGCGGAACACCAACCCCGTCATCAACCTGATGGCCCTGGAGGGCACGCGGGCGCTGGCCTCGGCCCTGCCGGAGATCGTGGAGAACCCCAGCTCCCCCTCGGCGCGCTCGTCCGCCCTCTACGGCGCCTGGCTGTGCGGCACGTGCCTGGGCAGTGTGGGCATGTCCATCCATCACAAACTCTGCCATACCCTGGGCGGGAGCTTCAACCTGCCCCATGCGGAAACCCACACCGCGGTGCTACCGCACGCCATCTCCTACAATGCGCCCAAGATCCCCGAGGCCATGAAGAAGCTGGCCGAGGCCCTGCCGGAAAGCAACGGGGACGCCATCCACGGCTTGAATGTGTTGCTGTCTAAGCTCAAGGTCAAGCGCGGCCTCAAGGACTTCGGGATGAAGGAGGAGGATATCGACAAGGCCGCCGACATCGCGGTCAGCAACCCGTACTGGAACCCGCGCGAGATCGAGCGCGAGCCGATTCGGGAGCTGATCCGGCGTGTGTGGGCTGGCGAGCCGGCCCGGGCGGATTTGTAGATGGATGAGGTATCTTTCTGTATATACTTTAAAATGAAGATACTAGGACAAGCAGTAGACGGCCATTGAATCCAGAGAGTATCAACGCGATTATGATTGACTAGACTCGTGTGGTGAGAATGGTTTGTTGCTTTGATTCTACGTATGGCACCACAAGTAATCCTCATGAGTGCCATTGGCTCCCCTGCGGATGGCGGGGTGAAAGTGGGGTGGAAATCCGTGGGATTTTCCTCGCAGTCAAAAATTGCGCCCGATTTCCCCTCCCCACCACCTTTACCAACACCATTCTCAATTGCCGGCCCTGGGCTGCTCACAATCTCACGACACTTTGCTCTACAATATCCCTCACCATGGCTAACGAAATGGAGGCAGCCCCCGTCCTCTCCACCCCCGATGATCGCATCCTGGAATCCACCGACCCGGTTGCGTCTCAAGCCCGGAGCCGCGCGCTCTCCGACGAGGAGCTCTCGATCACCTATGACATCGAACGCACGCTGAAAGAGATCCGCCAGGCACGGTATAAGCGCATTGCGCTCCAGTTTCCAGATGACATGCTCCCCGACGCTCCCCGAGTGTTCCAGCTCCTCAGCCGCGGCCTGGACGTCACCGATGCGTCTCAACCACACAGCAGCGGGCAGAGCAGCACCGACGGTGCCGAACAGCTCGCGGACTCGGTTGGCCAGCTCAAGGTCGATGCGACGCCCGAGCCTTCCCCGAAACTATATATTCTGGCGGATACCTCCTACGGGACATGCTGCGTGGACGAGGTGGCCGCGGAGCATGTGGATGCGGACGTTGTCGTGCACTACGGCCGGTCGTGTCTGTCCCCCACAGCCCGACTGCCGGTCATCTACGTTTTCACACAGAAGCCTCTGCCTCTCGAGCCCGTGGTTCGCGCATTCAAGGAGACCTACCCGGATCCCGCTACCAAGGTCATTCTGGCGGCTGATGTGACCTACTCGAACCATGTCCCGACCGTCTACGCGCGTCTCGTCGAGGAGGGCTATACCAACCTGTTCGCCACGGATATCGTCCACAACCCTTCCTCGGCAATCCCCAACCGCACCGTCCCGGTATCCGTCCAAGAGACCCCGGAATCCCTTTCTGACTGGCAACTCTTCCACATTTCCGACCCACCCACGGCCCTTCTCCTGACCCTTGCGTCTCGCGTCGCGGCCATCCATATCTATCCCACCGATGACGTGACCAAGGAGATTGTGAAGCCGCTACCCGCATCCACGGCGGCTGCACTGCGTCGCCGGTATGCCATTCTGACCTCCCTCAACACCGTGCCCATCTTCGGCATCCTCGTCAACACGCTGAGCGTCAAGAACTACCTGCACATCGTGGAGCATGTGCGCGATCGGATCGCGGCCGCCGGCAAGAAGAGCTACCTGTTTGTGGTGGGCAAGCTCAACGCGGCCAAGGTGGCCAACTTCAGCGAGATCGGCGGATGGGTGGTGATCGGATGCTGGGAAAGCTCTCTGGTCGACAGCAAGGATTTCTGGAAACCGGTGATCACGCCCTCGGAGCTGGAGCTCACGCTCCAGGGCGATACCGAGCGGGTGTGGACCGGCGCCTGGCGGAGTGACTTCCAGAGCGTCCTCGATCGATCCCAGGAAGAGGCGGAGAATGCGGACCCCGCGGCGGACGAGGCAGGAGAGGACTCGGAGCCCGAGTCCGCCCCCCCGGAATTCGACCTGCGCACCGGTCGGTATGTCTCGCACTCCCGGCCCATGCGGAATGCTGCTGCACCCCGCCTTTCCGCTTCATCCGCAGCCGAGGAGGCCGTATCGGCCGCGAGTGGGCCGTCGGCCGCGCGCGCCTTAGCGAGGCGAGCCAAGGGCGATATTGCCATGATCGGCGGGACGTTCTCGCCAGGGGCGGAGTTCTTGCAATCCCAGCGGACGTGGAAGGGTCTGGGAAGTGATTTCGACATCCAATACGAGGAAGATGCGCCGGACAGCACGCTGGTGGTGGAAGGGCGCAAGGGAATCGCAAGGGGATATACGGTGGGCGAGGATGGTGATCGACACTAGGATAGATACCGGTAGTTAGACTTCTTGTGCCCTGGGCGGTGCACTCAAATCAAGTTTTTTTGTTGACTGGCTGTTGCGCTGGGCCGGTTCCAATCCGGATCTGACTGGTCAAGCGTGCTTTCATGCCTTATTGCTCCTATCTGCCCAAAAAGAGATGTTGAGTACCGTGTCGGGTAGTTGATGAAGATTCAATAAAGGCGGGAGAATCAATCACTAGAAAGAAGTATGGAAATACGCTGAGGGAATAATCGCTCCCTATCCCTTTTTAGGTTTTCTTCTCACCCTCCTTTCATTCCCCGTTCCTCAGGATTATTATTTTTCTCCCTGATCATCATCATCATCATCCGACACCAGGAAAACCAGCATCATCATGCCAGTCGATACCCTTTCCAATTCAGGCTCGTGATGGTCGAAGCGACCTATCACATGATGCTGGGCCGGGCAGATCCCGGCACCCGTCGTTGGATTTGGTCCCAATCCCCAATCTGAGGTGAGTTGGCAAAGCCACACCCACACACCCACATTCACTCACTCACTCTCTCTCTCTCTCTCCCTCACTCACTCACCCCCATCACCTCATCTCACTTTCGTTTTCCATCCTCTCTTTCTCCAATTCCCCCCCCCTCTTCCCCACTTTCAAAAACCCTGTCGTGGTCTTCTTCCTCGGCTTCTCTGCCTGCTTGGTCTTTTCTCCCTTAATAGACCTCATATGATGTTCAGCCTTGGGATGTAAACCCGTCCTCCTTGCGCATCGTCGCCCTCTTGCTTCCCCTTATGATGGGCGGTCTTACCCGCATTTTCCGCCGTGCTCGCGATCCCGCGACACTCTCTACCCTCCGACTCCGTCCCACACTCAATCCATTGACCAAGACATTCAAGACATAGAAAAAGATCAAGCAGGATTTCGGCCTCAGCGCCGTCGTGACCGACCGACATACTCCGATAGCGCCCTCCGTACCACTATCACTATCACTATCGACGATAACGATGGACGGGGAGACGAACAACACCGCCGGCCCGAGCCAGCAAGTGCTGGTGGAATCCGCGCTGGAGCAGTCGGACCTCCACGCCCAACACTCTTTATCGACATTTGAAAGAGTCCTCACCACTCACGCGCCTATCCTCGAATCCCTCCTTCTGCAGACCCCCACCGACTCGATTCTCTCGCTCTACCACACTTCCCGCTACCTCCGCTCCTTTCTCCGTTCATACCCAACAGCATGGAAGTACCTTTCGTTCCGGCTCCTTTATCCCTCAGGCACCCCTCCGCCGATTCGCGTGGTCCTCACCGGTTCTTCGGAAGCAGTGGTGCCCCGTCAGTCGCGACCGTACGCTCTCGATCAGTTGTTGATGAATGTGGTGCTTCCGTTCAGCCCGTGTTTGCGCAGCCTGGAGTTGGATAACACGGCGGTCTCGGGTCAGATCCTGATCTCTACAGTCCTACATGCTCGACGGGAGACACTGGAGCATCTCTCTGTTCGGGGGTGCAAGAACGTCTCACTCAAGTATCACATTATTCCTTACTTGACCATGTTCGGCCTCCAGTACGATGTGAACATGGAACGGAATATCGGTAGCTCCCCTGCCACCAAACATCTCGCCCTCAAAAGTCTATACACCTACCGATGTCGCCATCACCGCCGTCGCCCCTACCTCACGTCATCGCTGTCGCGAAAGGATTCGGACTCCGAGCCCACACATGAGCTGGTCAACCTCTGTCACAAGCTGGGCATCTGGACGGACACGGCATGGTGCTCGACCCCGGCCGGGCGGTGCTTCCGCAGACGAGGGTACGTGTCGATGCGGGTTCCCCAGGGCTCGGCCGAGGTCTGGGTCGTCTTCGATCGGCTGTGGAGGTCGAAGAACTGGATCGGACCGATCGACTCGGGTAACCGGCCAGCTCAGCGGGATGGCAAGCTGTGGGAGCACAATGAGACGGGCTATTGCGGCGAACCGCTGGGGACGGGCGAAATCGGTGATCTCGGTGACGGCAAGATGAAACCGGCGCATCTGCGTCAAAGTCACGCGCAATTTGTCCAGAACATCCGCTGCGACAACTGCTGCGAAGTGATCCCGGAGCGGTGCGAGCAATGCAGCATCCTGATGCACTGCGTCGGATGTCGAAAGACTCTCTGTGCTAGCTGTGCGTACGATCGGCCTTACATTGCTGGTCATTTGGAGCCCGCCTCGGCCAAGGAGTCGAATCCGTTCTGGTGGGCCCCGGGCGCAACAGTTTCGCCGTGTTCGATGCAAGACCCGCTGGAACTCACGGATCACGAGGCACTCACCACCAACCCCACCGCTCCGGCCGCTTATCCTGCCCTCAAGCTGCACTGGTGCTGCACGGAACCCATTTTCTCCGGGGGAGGCGGTATCAGTATCGGCACTTCCAACCGGGACGTAGATCAAGTGCGCGCGGTGCCTCTCCCCAGGGGACAAGGCTGGGAGGACCTCGAAATCTCGGCCCAGGAATGGAGCAAGACGTTCCCCCGCGACGCTTACGGAGATCCCCGCAAGCCGGATTACACACTTGAGACGGGACACATCGCCATGATGAAGTGGCTGCTGGGTCCGCCCAACCGACAGCCCACGGCTTGTCCCCGCAACTTGTGCCAGAATTGCTACGACACGCCGCAGTGGAAGGTGCATTGCAAGAGCTGCTCGAAGCCGTTGTGCATTGAGCATGATCTCCGCGGTCTACGATTGCGAATATGCGGCTACCGGGACTTGACGCTGGAGAAGATGGCGATCCAAAACCACGCTGCATCCAGCTCTCGCGGCTTCCTTGCCCCGCACATGGCGTATCCCCACTCCGTGCCTGAGTTCGAGTTACCGTTCCGGACCCAGCGGATGATCGACTCCACGACGAGCAGCTTCACTGAGGACCACGGTGACGGGGCGGGGGAGGGGCGCAGCCGCGCTCTGCCCGAACCCCCGGGACCCGCGTCGCTGATCCATCGCCGCTCGCGAAGTCTGTCTCTGTCGAACTCCAACCGATCCCGCTCGTCCTCCCCCTCATCCATCTACTGTGACTCGCCGTCCGAGCAGCTGCGCTGGCAAGGTTGCCAGTCCTTCTTCTGCCCACAGTACCGGGCCGTCGGCGACCAGCGCCAGCGCTGCGCCAGCGTGCTCCGCGAATGCACGAGCTGCGCCGTCTACGTGTGCCAGGACTGCGTGAAGGCCTACCCGCCCTGCAAATGCTCCTTCTGCGAGGTCAACTACATCTGCCCGAACTGCGTCAAAGTACGCGAGCGCGAGGGGACCTGCCGCCGGTCGGCAGAGGAGAAGGCCCGCCGCGAGCAGAAGTGGAAGGAAGACATGCGCATGCTCGAGGGGATCCTGGAGGCGAAGCTCGCGAATGCGACCGCCGAGTATGCGGGCCAGTTCTTCGGCTTTCTGGAGGGCGGGGAAGTGAGCAGCAGCAGCCCGGGGGCGGAGGGGGAATCCGATGGGCCGCATCCGGACCCGAGCGACCTGCACGGCCTCCATGAGGTCGATCTTTTCGGAGAGGAGATTCTCACGGATAGTACGGAATGATGATGAAACTCGGATAGGCTGGTGGTGGGGTAGGGGGGGATTCATCTTAATGGCGTTTAATGGGATATGTGGGAGCATTTTGAGCTTTCTTATTTTCCTTAGCATTTGTGCGAAACAAAATCTTACATTCTTGGGTGGGGTGAGAGGGAGGAAAATGGTAATCTTGTTGTGTGGACGGTGTTGTGCTTGCGGAATGAATATGAATGCAGTCATGATGCGCAGGAAGCATAGAGGCTGTTTAGTCGGGGGAGGGGGGGTAGAGAAAAGACTGTTTGCTATGGGTAGGATAGGGTAGGGTCGGTTATGGTGGGGGATCTGGAACACACGCAGGGCATATACGGCATAATGATCTTTGTGACATCCGTCCATCTGTCACATCTTCAATGATTAGCGTGCCTTTTCTTAGGAATTTCTCGAGAGAGTATGGGGCCTCTTTTGGGTGCATATCAATCAAATTGTTAGCCGACAGTACTAAGAGTAACCAAAACCCAAGTAAGCTCGACCCGACCCAAAGCCCCGCAGCGGACGGAAGCTACTCGAACCGCCGCAGCAATTAGTCTCCACCATCGAATATTCCCCCGCAGACGCTCTTCTTTTTCTCCAACATCCTCCCCCAACCACTCCCACTTCCAATCCCCAGCACTTAATCGCATCAGGTACGGAATCTCCCCTCATCACTTTCTGAAAACCCCAACAAAAAAAATAAAAGCTAAACTAACCACCCACCCCGAAACCCAGACCCTCCCGACCAGAAATGTCGGAAACAGAACCCACCCCCGCGGACCTCGCCGCGCGCGACGCCGAAGAACGCGCCCGCAAGGCCGCCGAGGAGGCCGAGCAGGCCCGGCTCCCCTACAAATGGACGCAGACCATCCGCGACGTCGAGGTCACGATCCCCGTGCCGGGCCACCTGCGCGGCCGCGATTTGGATGTGGTGCTCACCAAGACTAAGATCCGGGTGGCGGTGAAGGGGGAGGCGAAGGCTGTTATTGAGGTATGTCCCTTTCCTTTTACCTTCCTCGTTTATCTCGTTCTACCGGGGTGGTGGTTATCTACAGTACTCGGGTTGGAATGGGGATTGGGGGAATCCACGATCCTGGATCACGATGAAGTGTGTGTGTGCGGGTGTGCTAATGTTGATGTTCTTCTGGCACACTGCAGGGCACCTTCCCCCACCCGATCATCGTCGACGAAAGCTCGTGGACGCTGGAGACGACGGCGCACCCGCCGGGCAAGGAGGTGGCCGTGCACCTGGACAAGGTCAACAAGGTGGAGTGGTGGCCGCACGTGGTGACGGGCGCGCCCAAGGTCGACGTCAGCAAGATCACGCCCGAGTCGTCCTCGCTGAGCGACCTGGACGGCGAGACGCGCGCCATGGTCGAGAAGATGATGTACGACCAGCGGCAGAAGGAGATGGGCGGCATGACTAGCGACGAGCAGAAGAAGATGGAAATCTTGAAGCAGTTTCAGGCGGAGCATCCTGGTTAGTTTTTTTTTTTTTTTTTTTTTTCCCTTGTCCTGGGGGTTTGTGGGGATCGTGCAATGTGCTAATCTCTTGGGGTTGCAGAGATGGATTTCTCGAAGGCGCAGATTGGTTGAGTTTGAGGTGGGCGTGGTGTGTATGTATGAGGTCATGAAAGGCGTGCTTTGCTGGTGTTTGATTCTTATGCTGTATGCCGTATTGTGGTTTAATGGAGTTGTTGATAAATGAAGCAGATGGTGCGTTTGAATACGAAGGTGCTTCTTCGGGACTAGCGTGTCAGCCTTACTGTTGTCGATGGCTTCTTCCCCTCATTCCTATCTATCTACATGCATGGTTTCTCTAAGCAAATTGATCAGGCTCAGGCATATTAGCCATGATCAATCACCATGTCTCTCCCCGCAGGCCAGGGAATCCTCCAACTCCAACTCTCCTCTCAACCGGAACGCATCTATCATGCCCGCCGTGCGCATCGCAAATCCCGCCATGGATGCTCCAAGTGTAAACAACGCCGAGTCAAGGTACTGAACACTTTCTTTGCCCACTGCCAGCCCCCATTCTAAACCTCGCAGTGTGACGAGTCGAAACCCCACTGCCTCCGCTGCCAGAAACTCAACCTGAACTGTAGCTATGAACCCACCACCAGCAGCAGCAGCAGCACGGACCCCGAGAAAACAATCACCCGGTTCCTGACCAGCTCGCCGGACTCCAGAGCATACAACCTGGCGCAGGACGCGGTAGGGGCTCAGCTCCACGACCTGCTGCAGCTCCCGCAGGGCGCCTCGCCGGCTCTCCGCGTCGAGGCCCTGCATCACTTCTACAGCCTCTCCGACCCGGCCCTCGGGCCGCAGGCACCGCAAGCCGAGTACCAACGACGGGTGATCCAGCTCGAATTCGAGGTATGAACCCACCTGACACCGAGCCATCATCCACTTTCCCCCTCTGCATGCCCCTCACCCATGCACCACTAATCAGGGAAACGATGGATAACAACTAGACCCCTTACCTAATGCACGCCATCATCGCCTCCGCCACCTCCCACCTCCGCTACACCACCCCAGCCAAACACTGCACCTACGCGGTCCCCGAAACCCACCACTGGCAAGAAGCCATCACGCAGTACGCCCGCGAGCTGCGCACCATCGGCCCGCACAACATGGACGGGCTCTTCGGGGCCTGCCTGCTGCTGACGGTGCGCTCCTTCGAGCTCGACCGCTCCGACCCGCGCGCCTCCTTCGTCTTCGCTTCGTCACGCCAACACACCGCCACCGCGCTGACCTGGCTGACCCTGCAGGTCGGGCTGCGGCGGCTGCTGGAGGCCACCGTCCCCTGGCAGCGGGCCAGTATGTGGTGGGACGTCTTCATGGCGTCCGCGGCGCAGGATCGGGGGATTTTTGACGTCGAGGAGGATGACAGTCGTGGGCGGAAGCTGGCGGGGATCGACCCAACACTGGCGGAGCTGTGCGGCATCCATGCGGGGAGTACCCCCGCCAATAATGTGTACTACGAGCCGGTGCGCATGTTGAGTGGGTTGGTGCGTCTGCCCCGGGGCATTCGGAGCTTCGGGGCGTATACCGGCTGGATGGGCCGGTTGGAGCCGGCGTTTTTTGAGCGGTTGGTGCGCAAGGAGGCTGCGGCGTTGGTGGTGCTGAGGGAGTGGTTGGTGTTGCTGGGGAGTGTGGATTTGTGGTGGATTGGGGTGAGGGTTAGGTCGGAGGTGCAGGCGATTAATTGGTTTTTGGAAGGGATTGAGGGAGATGGAGGTGGGGTGGATGGTTGAGGGCGAGACTCGGAGGGGCGATTGACATCAGGGTTTGTCTAGAACGCTCTACACGAAGGCATAGGAAACGCCGATGCTGTCTGGGCCCAGTCGATGGCCTCTACACAACTTTGAAATTTTATCTGCAGGAATGCTGAAGGGGGTGCATCACCCAGCTCAAGAATGCGGGGGCACTGGTTGGATAGATCATCAGCGTCAGACCGACTACTCCCACCGTTTTGGACCCTTGTCAACGGAGTATTACCACAAAAGACAAGCGTGATATGTCTTAGCCCTTATCATCTGCGTGGCGGGTCAATCATTGAGGCATTATTCTCCTGCAGGGGGGAGCTGGACCCCTACCGCTTCCAGATGCATCCAGATCCCCTCGAACTTTATGATATTTGATGCTGCCCCCCTCCGCTCCCCTCCCCCGGTCTTCCTCCCACCACACACCAGAGATGCCCAATCCCCAAACCCAACCGGGCCTCTCCCACTCGGAGAGCACAGCCACCACCGACGCGACATACCCCCGCGAGGACCACGAAACCGACAAGCCGTGGGAATGCTCCGTGGAGGCCGCCAAGGCAGCCAACGCCAGGGAGCACGAGATGTCCGTCGCGCAGGCGCTGAAGCTCTTCCCGTGGGCCGTCGTGTGGTCGCTCGTCCCCTCCATCGCCATCGTCATGGAGGGGTACGACACCATCCTCATCACCAGCTTCTTCGGGTATCCGGCCTTCCGGACGCAGTTCGGCGAGGAACACCCCGGCAAGGGATATCAGGTCGCCGGCTCCTGGCAGTCGGCACTCGGAGCCGCTGGCAACCTGGGGTGTATGATCGGCGCCCTGATCAATGGCTATCTGATCGAGCGGTGGGGCTTCAAGCGGGTCTTTCTGCTGGCCCAGCTGCTGATGGGGGCGTTCATCTTCATCCCGTTTTTCGGCACCACCGCCGGGCTGCAAGTTGCGGGGCAGGTTCTTTGTGGGTAGGTCTTTTTTTTTTTTTTTTGTTTTTAGCTTGAAGGCTTCTTGCAATGGGGTTGTGTGGTTCGGCCGAGCTGATATCCAGACGTAGACTCCCGTGGGGCATCTTTGCGACCCTGGGGCCGGCGTATAGTTCGGAGCTCTGTCCGATGGTGCTGCGGCCGTATCTGACGGCGTTTGTGAACGTGTCCTTCGTCATCGGCCAGTTGATCAGTGCCGGCGTGCTGCAGGGGCTGATCGATTTCGACAGCCAGTGGTCGTATCGCATCCCCTTCGCCCTGCAGTGGGTATGGCCGGTCCCGCTGTTCGTCTGCGGCTGCTTCATGCCCGAGTCCCCGTGGTGGCACGTCCGGCGGGGCCAGCCCGATGCCGCCGCGCGGATCGTCAACCGGCTCCTGGCCGACCCCGACCCCGAGACCGCGCACCAGACCGTGGCGATGATGATGTACACCAACCACCTGGAGCGAGAGATCCAGGAAGGGTCCTACCTGGACTGCTTCCGCGGGCCCAACGCCCGGCGCACGGAGATCGCCTGCATGGCGCTGGCCGGCCAGGTGTTCACCGGGCTGGTGTTTGCGTACTCGCCGACCTACTTCTTCGAGCAGGCGGGCATGAGCGACGACGATGCGTACAAGCTCGGCCTCGGCGGCGCGGGGCTTGCCTTCGTGGGCACGACGGTGTCCGGCCTCGCCATGCACTACCTCGGCCGGCGCATGATGTACGTGGGCGGCATGGGCCTGATGAGCGTCTATCTGCTGGTGATCGGATGCCTGACGCCGGCGACGTCGGCGCATTCCGGTCCCCCGGCGAGGGCGGCGGCGGCGCTCTGGACCCAGTCCGTCCTCTGCATCATCTGGATCTTCACCTTCTCGATGACGGTGGGACCGATCGCGTGGGTGATTCCGCCGGAGGTCTCGTCCACGCGCCTGCGGTCGAAGACGGTGGTCCTGGCCCGCAATTCCTATTACGTTGCGTGCGTGGTCGCCAATGGGCTGGAGCCGTCGATGGTGAACCCCACGGCGTGGAATTGGCGCGGATACACGGGGTTCTTCTGGTTTGGGACGGCTTTCGTGACGTTCCTGTGGGGTTATTTCCGGCTGCCGGAGACCAAGGGGCGGACGTATGAGGAGTTGGACGTCATGTTCGCCAGAGAGGTGCCGACGTGGCAGTTTGGGAAGTATCGAGTGGATGCGTATGAGGGGGATGATTCGGGGGTCCACGGTAGTCCTGATGAGTAGGGGTTTTAAGTTAGCGCCGCCAACTGGCAAGGCTGGAAGTGGGACGGAAGGGAAGTGCGGGACACGAACCAATCAGCAGTGCGGGGGAATCCGGATGCCTGGGAATTGAGGTTGAGGCTGACTGAGCTGAGGCTGCGTCAGCCTTTCTTTTTCTGGGTCGACCTCTTGATTTGACTGTCTGTCTTCCAACAACCAGTCGAGGTGTGACACCGTGGACTCCATCCATACCTCCATTGTTTACGTCTCCTGGTTGTGATCTGTTCAACTTGGATGATTATATACCGTACCCGCCTACTCAATCTCACCCACGGAATCCCCATATACTGTCCTATCCTCCTCTCCCTCTCTATCGATAAGTTAGCACTTATCATCCTACCCACCGATAACGATAGCCCACCTGGACTACCACCACTTGCGAAGATCACCATCAATGTCCCCCCTCAGCGCCATCACCGGCTGGCTCTGCTGCATCCCAAGCCCCGATCCCAATCCTCCACGCCCACCTTTACCTTCACCTTCAGCTGCACCTCCACTACCTCACTATTCCCGCGCAACCAACGAAGGCTACCACCC